TGAGAGGTGCTCCTGACCAGGGAAGGGGCGCAGATGAATTTGGTACAGGCGTACATTTTTAGGGGATGAGGGGTTGTGTCAGGAAAGCTGCTCCAAGTGCAGAGAAGACAGCAAGAGTGTATATCTGAATCTTGCTCATGACCCCCCTTATGTTCTACCCTTAGTTTTCCCTGCTTGTCTGGTATGCTCAGAAGATAGGAACCCCTTTCAGTGCTTCTGTGTGGCTCATAAATGACTCCATTTTTTTTTCTCTTTTTTCTGAAGAATAAATGAAATGGCTGATTCAATTTGACCACTTACACTGTTGCCATTTAAGTGCCACCTATGTGACAAAATCTGAACTAAAAGAAATAGTGCAACTCTGATCCTTATGTTTATTTGTAGTAGCCTCAAAGACCCCTTAAACTCCCATCTCACCACCCCACTTACTCCTACACACAATTCCTAATGTTCCATTCAAGCTTCCTAGGTCTCAGAGATGACTGTTATAGTAAATGAGGTTTGTCAAGGCATAAACTCTCAAAAAAAAAAAAAAAGCTCTGAGACCTAGGGAAGTTGAGGGGAGGACAGGAGAAGGGTGAAAACTCTTATGAGAAACTCTGTAGAAAGACTCAGGACTTCTGGGAAGCAGTAAAACAAGATTAGAGATCTCAGGGTATTGGGTATAGATAACCCAGGCAGGAAGCAGAGACTACCTGATGGTGGTAGTGGATGGTGGTGTGCTGTGGAGTCCGTTCAGACTCTGAGTGACCCCATACAGTGTTTCTGAGGCTGTAAATCTTTACAGGAGCAGAAAGCCTCATCTTTCTCCCATGGAATGGCTGATAGTTTCAAACTGCTGACCTTGAGGTTAGCAGCCCAACTTATAAACACTATGCTACCAGAGCTCCTAAGCTATGAATCCTAGGGACTTGGGGGGACAGGGGAAGGGTGAAAACCCTTATAAGAAACTCTGTAGAAAGACTCAGGCCTTCTGGAAAGCAGTAAAACAAGATTAGAGATCGCAGGGTACTGGGTTATATAAACCCAGACAGAAA